GGGTTGATTTATCCTGGCATTCGTCCAGCCAGGTTTGCGGTTTTGTATTTAAAATATCATTAAATAAATATTATTCAAATATTCATAGTGCCTCAAACACGTAAAAAAAAAGCTCCTAGCTCTCCTACAATTTAACAATTCCTTTCAAAATATATGGCGACAGATATTTTTCATCTCTAAACTTGGTAGATTTCTTAAAAAGAAAAGAAATAGGATATACGGGAACAATTAACGCAAACAGGTTGGAGAATTGTCCTTTGCGTGACAACTTGCTGCAACTGAAAAAACGCCAACGGGGTAGCTTTGATTTTTGCAGATATAAATACCTAAATAACGGTAACCCTATAGAATGACAATCGTCCAGTTTTAACTGTCAGTAGTTGTGAACAAGTAAATCCCATTTCTCAAGTTGGTCGCTGGATTTCTACTGAGAAAAAAAAAAGTCCTATTCCTCAGCCATTTCTAATAGACCCATATAATAAATATATGGGTGGAGTGGACCGGATGGACCAAAGCATCCACAATTATCGAATAAGCCTTCGTTCTAAAAAGTGGTGGTGGAGTCTCTTTACATTTTGTTTGGACTCGTGCATGCATAACGTTTGGCAATATTATAGACTCCAATCAAATTGCGAAAGAGTTGATTTTCTACAATCGACGAGAAACAGTTCAGGCCTATTTAAAAAAATATGGACGACCAATTTTAGCTGGAGCACGTCCAAAGACATCAACGCCATAAGATTCGAGAAATTTCAACCACATTAGATATGATGGCTAAAAAACAGAACAGGTGCACCCTTTGTCATAAAAACTCAACTAAAATGTATGAGAAGTGTGACATCAAATTACATGAAGCTTGTTTTAAAACTTATCATGTTCCTGATGCTTATTACATGTTTTTTTTTTAAACTTAATTAAAATTATTTATTTAAAATTTGCTTTGATTTTACTGTACCCATTCATTCCCGATGTTCCAAAATTGGAACATCATTTTTTTAAAGAAAAAACACTTGAAAAGGCGAAAAACAATTTTTTCCTCAGATAATATAATCACTCTTGCTATATTTTTCCAAATATTTTATTTTTCAAAAGATTTGCAAAACTCGGGCATAACAGGTATTTTCAATTCTTAAAACTCGGTCAATAACGGGTTAATGTAAACTAAAAATATTGAAACAAAATTTATACCCGAGCGCGAAAACTTGTTTGATACCGGACCAGATTGTTGCCCGAGACCAGCAATGCTACGGCTGGCAACGATGCTCTCGATAACACCACACTCTATTCCTAAAGATAGTAGCAGCGAAAATGAAATGGAAGAGATAGAAATACAAAAATTGAAGATGAAGTTGCTGATGCAGCACGGGTTGTTCGAACTTGTAACACTCATGCGCATTTTTAACTTCGATAACACAAATTGAGGTTATAAACGTTGACGCAAATTCTTGTTTCGCCTTTTAAAAAAAAATCAGATGAAATACATTTTCGTGAACTAACAAAACAGAATTTTCTAAAATGGCAAATAGAATTTAACCCATGTTTTTTTTCTTTTTTGAATTAACAATTTCGGATGGTACTCAACTTTGAAATTTATCAGGCCAGTTCCCAGTAGACAGATGATATACAGTTAAACGAGAAGTTTCAAAAAAATGTGTCAATGTTAGATTCACCGCGTAGTGTAACAGTAGCGACTGAAGAGAACCTGCATCTCGTTGCCCAAACGTTTGTCGAGACACCCAGTCAGTCTGCAGTTTGCGCAGCTCTTCAATTGGGCATAACGGACTGAAATATCATGTCGTCCTCATTTGATACATGCGCTAACAGCTTATCAACAAATTCTTTGGAGGGATGAAGCATAATTAAAATTAAATGAATGGATTAACTAGCGTCTTATTGAACATCTGAGAACCCCCATGAGACCACTGCGCAGAGTTGAATCTTCCTGGAATAATTTCCTTGAGGAGACCGTTGACGCAGATAATTATCAGGAACTCCTTGTGGATTTAAACGGTGAACTTGATAATAACCCAGAGTTAGCAGATACTCGCTATTCCCTTACGCCGGGCCAGTTTTATAGGTCTGGTCCTTGAGAGGAAGAAAAACTAAAAGTGACAACAATGGCAAACGCGCAGGAAAAGATTTACACAGCGGAAGAGATCAAGAAGATCGCACCACATTACAGTGGTAAACCAGAGAACTTCAAACCTGGCTTTAAACCTAAAGTTAGGAACGTACCCGTTGGTAAGAGAGATCCAACCGTGCCAAAACCAACACATGCTGCAGAAAACTCGCAGCCCACCAACCAGAACAATGAGCCTCTGTTGAGAGAGGCAATTTTCGGCATAGACATTACGGACAATCCTTCAACGCCAATTATTCAAAATTGGTGGATCTAACACTCGACACGTTCGACGCGTACCAGACTGATGTGAATCAGGTGGATCGTAAGGTACGTAAGGAAGAGTTACTATATTATTCCACAGTATTACTTCATCTACGCTTGATCGAAGTCAAGTCAAAGCAAGGAGAGCAGGTACTGTCAAGCCCGGAAAAAGATATTCGAAAGGCAGTTGTAGACGAAACTTTTAACGTTCCGCAACCGATCTACACTTACATTAAGGAAATTGAAACGTATACCGACCGAATGGGCAAAGAGACATTGTTGGAAATTCCCGCATTGCCAACTACCGTTGTGCAAAATTTTTAAGGATACCATGCCAACGCGGTGAACGCTGACACTCATAATCTGTTCGAAGAGGTTCCATCCCTGGGAGTAGCTAGGGACATGGTAATGGCGCTCGCTTCTCAAGAAGCGGAACCGGTGCCAAACTTCCATGTGCACAGCATTGTGACAACCAACTTTATCGGAAAAACGTCATTAAAAGGAGAACGAAGGCCAGAAATTAGGCAGCGCTTAGCAGGCTTTGGTATTACCGCGAACCAGTTCGACGAGTACGTAACAAACACGCGATTCAATCTGCGCTACCTACGGTCAATTTCAGATGTTATTGGCAAATTCGAAACTTTTAAAGTCGTGACGCGTAACTTGGTATGGCAGGAGGCGAAATTCAAATAGTAACAACAACGCCCTCCGAGGAATAAGAAATAGAAAACTGGCGTCAAAGGTCAGTGCAAGGAACCTCACCGTCATCAAGTTCGACAGCTGTGCTCGGTGCAGCAAACGGATTTGGTTTCCAACTCTTCAAGGAAGATGGTTGAGGACGAAATCGAATGGAGAGAATTACCAATTGGAGCTGCATTGTAGGTGCAAGTCAAAATCCCTGGCAAATGCCAGACAATTGGTATAATAACCGAAACGCACGTCACAATGCCACCGTGTTAAAATAAAAATCAAGAACCGTATTGACTGGTCTAGTTCGTTTCCCAAAACCCGAATTATGCATTAATTTATTAATATCATAAATCGAACACGATATTAAAAAGTTATCCATTATTTTTGCAATATATGGTTAAAAAATGTTGTTCCACTTTTACGAAGAATTAAACACCAGCAAAAAGAAAGTTCGCTATATTTTACAATTTTTCTTCGACAAAGACAATGAGGATAATCCCAATCCGCACACACCAATAGTGCTTCAGCAGTTTGGATGGGAAGTTCTTGTACATCCACATTTTGCTTAGAGTGATCAGCTGTTCTTTCCTATAGCCAATAGTTTTACTGCTGACATGATTCAATTTGGGGATGTGAAACCCGAATACATTTTTTTTAAACGAAGAGAGGCATAATGAAATTTCCTTAAAAATGGCGACAAGTGAAGGAACAAGATGTTGATAACCAGTCAAATAAAAAAAATATATCGGCCGACCCAAAACATAAATTTTTATATCTTCTTTTTAACCTCCTTTTGGGACGCAGACTGCCACTCCGATGACACCAATCATGAACATCCACAGCCACAGTCGTGTCGAAGCAATCCAGTAGGAGAAGCTCTTTCAATCCGAGCCGAAGAATCACAACCACCCAAACTTAAAGACTTATTTTTGTTATGAAATGTTCAAATACCTCAGGCGGTTTATTGACATTAAACCTCAATCAAGCAATCTTTGGTTTTAAACATTTGTTGTAAGACCATTCTGAAACATATTCATCGGCAAAATACTCTTTAAAATATTGTTTTGAATACTACGTACGTAATGCAAGCATTAAATGCATATAAAAAAAGAATCGGATAAAAGCCGAAATAAAAAATGAAATTCAATTTAACTCTAAAGAGATGCACATTCGATGTTGTCATGTGTCAACGAAATCTTCTTTGCAAATGCCCCATCAAATTACGATTCCAGTGTCATCTAGTGCCCTGGAATATCTGGCATTCAAAAAGTAAAGTGTTCTGGTATTATTGAATTCATACTCTTTGAATTTGGTTATTATCGTTCAGCATTTTTAACCCATTGCAATTTATTGTGCGTATGATGTTACACACCAATGTCATTTCCTTTGCCAATCTCATATTATATATTATTAAATTTTGACTGCTTTCGTCGTTCATGAAGAAAGCTCGAATACTTCTGAGGATGCCCTCTTGATGTTACCCTACTCAGTTCAGGCAACGGCACCCTGCACTCGTAGTCGGAGCAGTCTTCTGCAGGATTCGACTGTTTTACGGGCCTTTGGATCACTGACGGACTGTTCATTGCTGCCATTTTAACTGCGGTACGCATCATATTCCGCAGTTAAATAATCGTGTGCGAATCTTGTACAATTTCAAAAAGAAAAAGCTATCAGATGAAGATAAGAAAACAAATAGAGTGGCAAAGAGAAAACGATGCAAAAAGTGGTTGCTAAAAGGGAAAGAAATATTCACAGGATTTTGCCAAAAATTCCAAACAAGAGCCTTTCAATTCTAAAATTTAAACAATAGACCTCCAAATTTCGCATTGCACTCAAACCTGATTTGCACAACGCGGGACAAAAGCTGTAAAGGGATACCGTAAGGGGGAAATAATGAGTAAATAACCAAATAACTGAACCGAAATAATATCGATTTTTATTGAAAATATGGTGGTAATCAAAGGAGTAGTAAATACAAAACAATTTGTTGGATATTGATTTTTATTGAATTATTTAAAAATATTTATACTCACCTATGGATATGTCTGGAATCAAATCTGCTGATATAGATTCGGAGCAGGTGAAAGAATGCTCCGCTTTTGGCTGACTCTGCAGACACAGTTAATTTGGTAAATATACACGATAAGTATTTGAAACATCGATAAATTAAACATTTCAATATAAATAATTTCTTGATAGATCTTTTTACCTCAGGATGCAGAGATCTAACACTACTAAGCTTGTCCATATTACTCAGTATGTCTCAGAAGTTTTGGACAAAAACCGACAGGTCGATGTTGTATACACAGATATCCAAAAAGATATGATGGTCAGGTCAAATGTTAAACTTTGATCGTATTGCTCACTAGTGTGATATTAACTGTGAATCACTGTACGAGGATAATTAAATTTTTCGCTTTTTTTATTATATCTAAGCAATTTTCATTTTTAGTCAGGCATTAAATATAATTAGTGCTGCAAATAAAGCAATTTTATTATTATAACTAACGTTGTATTACTATGCCTAAAGAAAAATACCTAAATTACAATCTGACCTGAGCGATATAAAAATCTGAGAAATATCACACTATATCACACTAGCATAAATAAGCGAAATCTTCGCATTTATTCATATCAATCATTCAAAAATAAATGCAAAAAAACTTGACCGGAGTTGAAAACCTTTACCGTATGTTCCAGAAACAACATTTATCAGAACTTCATAATATGAACATTTTTTTTTCTATGTATATGTAAAATAAATCAGACTGGTCAGAAAAAAAATAATTTCTCAAACTAATACTAACGCAACTGGAGTTGATGACACATTAGTATGTAGTTCTTTTACCCTTGAGAATTATAAATAATTTGAAATGCATACGAACGAGGACCTCAAAAATTTATATAGGTAAACTCGAAGATTTCAACCAAACAAAACGTGGGTCACGGTCTTGTGCTAGGATAACAATGTAAATTTTCTAAAAGAGTTTACATATTGTCACCAATTGTTCGCTTATAATTTCATATTTTAAAATATTTAACTGAAAAACAGCAGCAAAAAGGACAAACACATTTTTAAAAATCAAATAAAGAAAACAGAAAAGAGTGCCGGGTAATAACTGTTGTATAGTCATTTAATTTCTTGGTTTGTTTCTTAATAAAATCACTTTAACAAAATCGGTCAGCATATTTTGGTTAAAGCTGCATACCAACTGTAACGTTAATTAACAAAACAGTGTCAAAATTAACAAAAGGTTTTTGGCAATTTAGCGACTAATCAATTTTTTTTTTTTGGGTCTGTATACAAACAAAAAGTATTGTTCCTGCCGGCTTCTTTCCAATGACTTACATGAATTACTTATGATCTACAATTTAGGTCAGCTCTTTAGTAATTTGACCGTATTAAATTGAATTGAATAACTTAGTAGGTAACTTAGGTAAATAAGAAAAAGGTAAATCTGTTATTCTATACAGGGTGTTTTAAAAAACATGCCCCCATTTTCGGCTGAACATTCATAAGTTCATATAAATCTAGATCACAAAAGCTTAGCTTCCAAGATTACTACGATCTTCGAAATTAAATAAACAAAAACGTACGAAAATCCTTCTTTCACACAGAAGTCATTTTATTGTTTTTAGGACTTAATAAATGATAGAACTCATGCAAAATATATCATTTATACTGTAATAACTGTTACAACAATTACAAAAAAAACAAGGGATTATATTTTTGAATGTGACAATAGTATTAATTAAAGATTGAAATTAAAAAAATATATATTTGGCATAAAATTATTTTTTTCTAGTTATAGCGCTCCATTGCTTTATCGCAGAAATTTGAGTGCTAAGAACCAAACAGAGCATAGAAAACATTAAAAAAAAATAAATATTTCCGTCCAACACCTCGAGATATTTAAGCTGATTATTCACTTAATATACTTTACAATAATAGGTACTAAGCGTTTTATAAACACATAGGTTAAGAGTACATCATCAAACGTTAAAAAAATAATTAACTTATCTAACGCTTAACACGTTTGCACTTGGTAAGGGGTGGTGAGGCATCTGACCGAAACAAAAGAATAAATTCGACAATCTCAGGATTGCTACTAAATCATTGTCTACCACAAACAAGCAAACCTATTTAAAGCTATTTTAACGACTTAAGCTCCGTTAATACCTAAGATTTTTATGTATGCCTACATGCCCGCCATTAAACTGATGGTTCTCATTTTTCATCATTTTCTTCAGTGTTAATTTTTTAGGACATTTACTGAAATGTTTTGTCAATTTTCGTGATTATTATTTTTTCGATTGAAAACGACGCATGATACGCAAACAACTCGAGTCAGAAAAGTTGACACGTTTAGCGGTTTATTCGAAGTATATAAGAAAAATTGTAAAAATGTAGATAGAGTACAGTTGACAATACAATTAGCACACCTAACGGACGGCACTGGACTCCACAAATTCAATCTAATCGAAGCAAACTTGGCTTTTTACCATTATAAATACTGTTGCTAAAACCGGTCAAAAATATTTTAAAAATTGTAAAAGAGATGATTTTTTTTTAACATTTAACACCCCGTATTTTGGAAACTAAGCATTTGCGGACCTAGGTTTATAAAGACAATCTTTTTTTTTTCTTCATTCTTGGATGACTAATCTATTAAAATTACGGAGAATAACAACAGCAAAGATCAACAACGATGCAAAAAGACTTACCTAAACAACTTCTCTGCGCTCTTCGAACGGACGAAAGACTATTGGTAGTCATGAAAAGTATCTGAACGGGTGGTGGAAATTGCATGATTGTCTTCGACTAAAAAAACATGTTTTTGTAAACAAATCATTGATACCAAATCAAGTAAATTTATATATCGCTAAAAGGACGAAATAATAATTATAATTCCCAAAATATCAAAAATGCAAAATTATTTCAAGTTTTATTTTTTAACTGGTATTATAAGGTCGGAAAGACATATCCAAATTCGGTTTTTACTGGCGTATTAGACTCTTATTAGTCCGTCTTGTCTTTTCTTGCAATATATAATTATCTCGAGAAAATTCATTTTATTTGTGGGAAACGCTATCTAGCAGTTATACAAGCAATCTAATTCAATTCGCTTAACCCTTTACGGCTTAGCGTACTCGTAGTGGAGCCACAATCAATTTAGTTTAAACCGCATCGGGACACTTATAGTGACTATACTGTAGGTATGCCCCACCGTTATATAACTGTGTTTTGTAAATAACGATTATTTGATATGTTTTACAAGAGTTTGTGTAAATGAAAATAGTTTTGTAAAGTTTAAATGCAAACTAATGATTTGATTGCAGAGTTCTCTGACGACACCGACTGGGCGATTTCAGCGATGATCACATTGAAAGCGCCCAATGATTTTTACGCACCATTTGTTGCTCGGACTTGTGATATTGAAAACATGCCCATTGTTTTTGCCCATGATGCTGGCCGCAATGATATAAATAATGATAGACAATGAAATACGCTTTTCTACTATTCGAGCCCAAGAAATGGCAAATCCAACTGTGCAGACCAAATCTGAAATTATTTGATGATATGATGATATCCCAGCAGGCCAAGAAAATTTTTTCTAAACGGCATGTAAATAAGCTTCAAAGAACAAAAAATTTTCCTAAACTAATCTAAGCTGAGATTCCCATGCATGTGATACTGTATAATAATATTTTATAAGCACAATTTTAAATTTTATTTTAAAAGCACAAATGAATTTAAACAACTTTTGCCACACAGTGCCGATGATATTTTTAAAAAATTCTAACAATAAAAGCTACGGAATATATAAAACGTTTGTTATAAACTAACTTGCAAATCTCACCAGCATAAAAATTTAGCGAAACCTTACGTTCAAATTTCCAGAAAACCATAGCAAATTCTATTAATTTTGCAAGTATTGACTTCTATTTATTCGTTTGCGTTAATTTTTATGTCAATATGGGGAAAGGATGAAAATCAATTGAGCCACTTTCCGCAGAATAAAAAATAATTTTCTCAATCATTCAACATGCCTCGTTCAAAAACACGCAATTGATAATAAATAAAAACAAAATGGCGAAGACAGTTTGTAAACTCTAAAAAATATATTATTAGACAGATCCAAACTAAAATAAGAAACTTACCAGTCACAAACATGTCACGAATTTAATGTAATAAGAACATGAACCACTTCGATGAGAAAATTCACGGTCGGCGAATCGTAAAACGAAAAGAAAACTCCTCTTATTCTCGAGCCATACTTTTAACCACACTTGAATCGCAAAAATGGACGACAATTGGAATGGTGATGAAACAGCATGGCGCTGATCCTCAGCAAAAACCACAGAAGACTATCAGGACGAAACTTTGATATCAGGAGGTAATTCTGCTGGTACCATTGCGCCATAACCACGGAACCAGGGAAAAAAAGCTCATTAAAGCAATCTGAGCACAGAAAACAAATTGGTAACATTCCCTGGTCTGAACAATGACCATTTCAACGCGTACCAAGAAAAGCACAACCAAAAGGGATACCGTGCCCGTGGAACTTTCAATAACACCCCCAATGAGAAACGAAATATCATTGAGCATTGAGAATTGGGAGAATTGGAGTGCGATGAAATTATGAGGTTTGGAAACAAAAATATGGTTCACGAACAATAATGGACATCCTTGTGGCGTATTATTGAAAACATAGGCTAATAAAGTATGGAAAAACGGAGGTTATGTGTTCTATAAAATAAAAACTTTTGTTTTGATTACCGGAGGCATATGGATGATTAACACAGTCAATCTACTTAATACTTAATTTTTAGGGACATAAGATAAGAAAAGTAATGGCGTAATAACATTATGTTTGCACAATTCAGGTGATAATAAAACGAAGTCTATGTAGTCTCATAATCGTTTGTCCATTTTACATAGGAACAGGGATAGACAGCTGATTTTAGACAATCAGTTTGTAAGTTTCAATAAAATATTGGGCCCTTTTCGAAAATACACAGGAGTAAAAGATAAAACAAAAAAAATACCATGACTTTTGTGCTGTATTTCAATGATGCCTGAAATTGATTTGTTTGTATTTTCTTTTTGCTTATTTTTAATATATTGTGTATTTGTATTAATCGAAATTATCTTCAAAACAAATAAAAAATTGCTTTAACATTTTAAAAAGAAAATAGAGTCTGCTGTCATATGACCTTAAACAGCTACTAGCAGTGCAGTGCAGCCCTACTATCCGAGCAGAAGATCGTTAATATGACAGCATGCAGAAAAATTAGTTTTTACTTTTAAGTAAAAATCGTTGGACTGACTTAAAAAAAATTAAGAGATCATATCAACTCATAAATGATTGCAAATTTCATTGTTTTTTTTAACGAACGACGTGCTACTGACGGTCTACAAACAAAAATTTAGGCTGCAGGTCGCCACTGCACTGGTTAACTCGGGATTTTTTTTTGAAAAATAAATTATCTATCTAAAAAATGTCTACATTTTAGTTACCAACTCGTGTCCTTCAGAAACAACAAATATTAGAGGACTGTTCTTTTTACTTTTGGAGTTTTAATGAAATAACATCCTAACAACAAGATAAATAATAAACGATTCTTATTAATAAAAAAAAAACAGTACCTACTGTTAATATTTTTTAATTTTTATTTTTTTAATTAATAAGCCATTTTTTAAAAAAGTAGAACATAGAAACTAGATAAGTTGTTAAAAGTGTCCTCTACCTTGGAAGTTAACACGAGTTTGTTACCATACACCCTGAGAACCTGCTGAGTGTGCAAGACTCGCAACATAACGATGGGAAAGATGCGCAACGGGCAGTCATCTGAAAATATTTTTGTTGTAAACTTGTAATACGAAAATAAAGTTATTTTTTTTAAAATCGGCAATCACGGTCTGGTTAGTTAACTGGCGCAGTCGGAACGATTTTCGGGAATATATATATATAGCAAACGTACTCGATTTGTTGCGTTTCAATAGAATTACCCGGAAAAAAAGAACTGTTGTGACACAAGAGAACCTCTTGGCACTACAGTCAGGTGTATGCGGCCAAATAACCTAACGAAGTCTTTGCAAATTTTAACCCAAGAATTTAACATTCATTCATCTTCAAAACCAATACAATTAAAGTATTCCGATTGATAGAAATATTCCCAGTTTTAGATCGATTCAAACAAATTTCCCAATGCATTCATTCCAGCCAAATCAGGACATGCTCAGACTACAAAATGTCAATGCACAAAACCCATATGATTTTCATATGACTTTCCTAGACCACCAAGTTTTTTGACATGCGCAGAATCCATCAATATAAGGCCAAATTTTAATAGAAATCCACAACAAAATATTTTACTAAATCTCAAGTATTCGGTAAACCTAATAATCAACAAAAAAACTTTCCACCACCCACACCGATGGCGTGAATAGAGTCAACAACATATAAACCTTTACAAAACAAAATTACAATACACCAAAGTTTACGATAGAAGAAGTTTAACTCCGAAACCGAAAAACATGGACCAATAAAACCAAATTTTATATAGCGATAATCAAAATTACCAGGATACAGCTACCTATGATCATTATTATGCAAATAATGCATCCTATGATTATGACACTGAAAATTGTCTTTATTTGCCCAATTACGACGAACAAGAACAAAGATATAACGAACAGCAACCTGCAAACGAAAATTTTCGGGAAATGATCACAATCACAAGACATAACACCTCAAATTATATATTTTAATATGTCAAATCCAAGCGATCATCAGAAATAATATAATTCAGGCTCAACTAGGTCATTTATCGATCCCAATATTGCACAAAAATTATATCTTAATTATATAATAAATGATCCTTTTATAGAAGCTACTGTCTTTCAAAAATCAGCACATCATTACAGTGCAATGATCCCATCTTTTTTGAAATTTTATTTATTCAAATTTCATAACATATTCGACGGTCTTTTAGGTCTCGACAATCTTACACTTTTACAAGCAAATCTCGACTTTAACAAGGGATATTTAAAAACACCCTACACGAATATTAAATTACAATTTAAAAAAATGCATTCCGAATTTAATTGCATAACAATTTCTTCGCGAGTCGAACAAGTCGTGAGAATTAAAACGTCACACACTGGGGCAGGAGAGCTCAAAACTTGGCATAAATTCTCAAACGTAGTAAATATTTAAAAAATGACTAATGATGTTATAAAAACAGCTGAATCACTCGATTCAGATCCATGAAACGCCTGCTTATAAAAACTATGACCTGAGCTTCCATCGAAACCCCACTTCGTAATTAAACAAAGCTTTTTTTAGTTGTTCGTCATTGAGTAAATTGATATTACCTTGTATAGTCATCAATAGGCGTTCTGCAGTGTGGTTGAACAAAACTTGTAACGGAACTTCTGCTGATACCTCAATTACTTTTATGTGCTCCTGATTTGGATGGCATTTTTTCTTTTCTGCTTGCACAACTTTATAAGAAGGAATAATTTCGGGGTCGCACCTTCTAACTAAGCAATACTGGTGTCTTGACATCTTGGCGTCCACCAATAAAGCTAGAGCATTTTCACCTGATATTAGACGACATTTACTTTCTTCCATCTTCATGAACGCCTTTCTATATTTACTTGCCCGTTTTGGAGAAATTGACATGTCCTGCATTAATTTTGAGGCCTGTGTTTGTCCCGCTGACCTTAAAGTCATCTGTGTTGCATACTTTAATTCCTCGAGTGGGGTAGATTTTCGCAAAACTTCGGTCTTTTTACGCTTGGTACGATCAGAG